GCTCTTAGCCCGGCTAGCACGAGTCGTGTGGTCAAATATGGGCCCTTGGGCTTTCTCCCAACGGGTCCTCACTTTTCTTGTCCTCTCTCTCGCGGCTGTTGGATTGTTTTTAGGTTGGTGTCGACACATTTTCCTTGTACAATTTTCTAGTTAAGTTATAATACTTTGAGTTAGAAACGTTGCTTCAAGTGTTCAATAATTGCTTTGATAAGACTAGCAGTGAGTTGCTTCTATATAAAACATGCTTGAATCTATGCAATCATTTAGCTTTTAATAAGAAGTGATTGATATACCTTATCAAAATTTTCTTAACTATCAATTATAAATCTTATTTAATTAGACAATCAATATGAAATTTTAATTTTGACATGTGATCTACGATGCATTTTTTTAAGTTGAAAGGATTGGAGAGCGAGCACAAAAATGAGTGGAGATCAAAAAGAGTGAAAGTTAGCTTTTAATGTGGTTACTTGTGGCGCACTGTTGCTTCTTCAATAGTATGCAAGAAACTTGATGAATAATTATTTTTGTAACACGCACACAAAGGAGGAGAAAATAAGGGCCTCAATTGAGAAAAGACAAGAAAAAATTTAAGAGGGTTAACAAAGATTCGTAAATAGAGGTATAAAATGAGAGAATCTTCTCTTTTTTCTATATAATATTTCCTATTGGTCTGGTAAGTGCGGCTTATGTCACTTATCAATGATTTGGCCGCATTCGCTTGTCTCTGGGGTTTGCCTGGCCTAAAATCAATTGGTCTTAGGTGCCAGCGACCCAGCACACTTCTTTGACTCTTTAATACTTGGTTATCATCCTCTGTTCTTTGCCCCTAGATCGCCTAAAGACACCATCTGGTCGTCCCTTTATTTGACCAGGGTCATTGGTTTGATGATTATTTGACAAGGTGAAGATAAAAAGGTTGAAGCAATGTATTGCGATCCTGGAGGGTGACATGGCATCGGGTGCTTCGTTGCTGGGGGCAACATCGAAGGAAAAGGATTTGTTGGAGATGGACTTTGTCATCTTAGAGTGATACTATGAGGGTGTGGCGGAGGATAACATATGGCTGGCTTATCAAATGGCTACAACAAGGATGCCTGAATAACTCATCCAAGATCTGTCATCGAACTCTGTATATATCGCCACTCTCTAGGCCAAGTTTCGTATAGAGATTAAGTACTACCTGGGCCACCAGAAGAAGCATAGAGTAGTTCCTACGGTGTGTTCTTCCATGGCACACCTACATGTGGATCATATTTTCCTTTTAGAATATCAAATGAAATGTCCTTTTGACTTGTGAATTATTTTCATCTAGCATCATATCATTTATTTTCTTCGAACATGTCCAGAATGGGTAGATGCCTCCGTTTCCTCTTCTTCTCCACTCTCTTTCCATCTTCCTCCTCTCGAAACTAAAAATTACCACACAGAAATGGAGGATTTATCTTCACTGTCTTCAAAGTCAGAAGGCCGAAAAGTCCTGTGAGGCAGCTGCAAACTCGGCGACATTCTCAGCTAGGCCAGGTTTTCAAGGGTCTACAGTTGGTGGAGAGCTAGCTCATCGGCGCATCACCTACGCCTGAAGGGATCAAGAATTTTAATGTGGGGGAATTATTTCTGTTTTTATTGTATTGTATTGGGTGTAATGAAGTTTAGATGTGAGATATGTATCTCTGTTATGCGAAAGCAATGCAGAAACGTAGAAATTCACACAATAGCACTTAAACACAAAAGATTTACGTGGTTTGGCGTTAAATCGTTTCGCTTACGTCCACGATGAGGGAGATTTCATTAGCACCGAATGGGAAAAAACAAAAAACAGCTTGAGGTTATAACTCAACACTTCTCCACCCCATACATACTCCTCTCGTAAGCCCTAAGTCTTCTTTTATAGAGGAGACTTAGAACATATAAAGAAAGAAACAAAAAAGAAAACAAATCAAATAAAATAAACTCAATAAATAAAAATTATAATTACATCAATCTCAACCTTATCTCTTACTTTCAGATAGATGAGATGATAAACAGAGCTCCAACTCCAAATCAACTGCACCAAGATGATTGCTTACTTACCCTCCTCCCGAAGGGATTAAGCCTCGCGCGGCTCTTCAAAATGCCTGATTGGGCAATCAATCTTGAACTCAAATGTTTACCAAACTACTACAATAAATGAACTTATGAACTGGTAGTACCTTTGTGAGTATGTTCGCTGGATTCTCCTCTGTATCTATCTTCTTCAGTAGAACATTATCTTCTTCAATCAATTCCTGAACAAAGTGGTAACTTACATCAAGGTGCTTAGTACGAGCATGTTGAACTGGATTTGTAGTCAAGAATATTGCACTCTAACTGTCACAGAACATTATATGTTAAATATTAAATTGTTAATGATTAACCTTAATCGAAAGTGTTCTCTCGTTATCGGGAGGGGTAATTAATCATAGGGGCTCACGCCTATGAGAAACCTCAAATCACAGATCAAAATGTCCTCGCAAAGTGAGGGCAAAATCTCTGAGTAATGTCTTCTTTACAATTCAATTTGCCTTCTAAAAATTTGACCCTCCAAATGTCTCTCAGCAAATCAAAAATAAAATAAATGCAGAGAGCTCCTAGCGAGCGATCGTGAATTTTCAGAGCTCACATCTATCTAGCTCCCAGCCTTTCATGCAAGTCGAACCAGGGAAGCTTGAGACACCTGCTGCCTTTTCACAACCGAACCACCGCCGGTTTGCGGCTCGAACCACCGTCGGACCCAAGTCCTCGGACCAAAGTCCACCGGATGGGCTCCTTGAGCAAAGTCTCTGATGGCAGAACTGCCAAATCTGCCGACAGAGCATGCCAAACCACCTGCTAAGTCACCGGCAACACCTGCCGAATTAGCTGCCGTCGACGTCGAACCAAACTCCGATCACGAATCCGAAACTCTAATTTCAATTATTATGCGAAAACAATGCGGAAGCGCAAAAATTCACATAACAACAATCAAGTACAAAAGATTTACATGGTTCGTCGTTAAATTATTCGCCTACATCCACGAGGAGGGAAATTCCATTAGCACCGGATGAGGAGAAACAAAAAAAAGGCTTGAGATCACAAGCCAAAAACTTCTCCACACCATACATACTGCTCTTATAAGTTCTAAGTCTTTTTCTTATAGAGGAGACTTAGAGCATATAAAAAAAGAAAATAATAATAATAAAATAAAATAAACCCATTAAATAAAAACCATAAATACAACAATCTCATCATTTAAATAAATACAACAATCTCATCATTTAAATTGTTTCAGCGTCCATAAGCTAACAGTAAGAGCTGTCGTAGCCCATACAATATCACAACTAAACAAAATATTCTCATCAATATGAGAAAATATCATTATTAAATTTTTGTTCGTTTATTAAAAAATGACCGTATTGTACCCAAAAGAAGTTACTTCTCCTTAAAAACAGGCATGAAATACGCAACAATGACTATTGCAACAGATGAAAATGTGGTTCTCATTGGAATGCATCCTTCATCACTCCTGAAGAACGAAGCTTCGAAGATGGGAATGTTTATGAGTACCAAACACCCACACAACAAAAATTGCAGAAACAGCGAGCTCAAATCTTGAATTCCTCCATCCATTACTACTTTTCTAATTCCTCCCACGAAGCAAAAGAGATTGAACATTGATATTGTCGACAATATCGTAAATATCAGGGAAGCAGATCCAAACTCCATGATCTCTTTCTCATACCTCTCAGATGCCTCTTCATCAGCCACCTTCGGTGTAACAACAAAAGCTGAATCCGCGACACCCAAAAGCTTTAGAATTGTATCCACCAAGGCAAATAGATCTGAAGTAGTTGTTCTATACAACCAGATTCTTGTATCATTCCACCAACCCTTTGCTGTTAGTCCATAATGAAGGAACTCCCACAAGTTAACAGCATTGCTCAAGGCAATCAGAAATAAAAATGGCAGTAACCAAATGCTAGAAACCTGCATTTAGACATGAGGTATTACAGATTAGCCCCGGGAAGAGTGCAAATAGAGAGAAAGAGAGGGGCTGGGGTGCATACACTAGGAAATAAGAAAATTCCATGAAGGAGGCAAATGGAAGGGATGAGGACATAGATAAGAGTTGGAATAGAACTGGCAGCCCAAAAGCTGCAAACGCTGTAACCCATTTGAAGACCAAGCTTTGTTCTTCCAAAACCGTAAAAGAAAGGAGAGTACTTGGAAAGTAACATTTGAAAGTTGCCTTCAGACCATCTCTTGTGCTGTAACAGAGTCTGCGAGAGTGTCGTCGGAGCAAGACCAAGAAAAGGTTCACCTTTAGGAATGAAATATGCTGATTTCCAGCCTCGACATTTAATGGAAAATCCGGTGATCACATCTTCCACAGGACATCCATACTTCAACCCCATCTGCACACATAATTTGAGCGGTATGAATGTAAATATAAATGCTTTGGTGTTGTATATGTAAATACATAAGAATTGAGTAGTAAATATGTAAATTTACATACATAACACACATCACGTTCATATCATACAATTCTTATGTAATTACACTTATAACACCTTGGTGTCATAAACTTATGCATAAAATGGTGTATTTTATTATTGAAAAGGTAGTGATGGTGCTACCTTTGATTTGATATTAAAAATTTGAGTGTTATGCATATGTAAATGTGAATGTTTAGATATTAGATATGTAAATACATAAGAATTGAGTGGTATGCATGTAAATGCCCCAATAAAGTATGAATACAAACTCGTTTTCCCCATTGGGTGTTCTCTTCATAGGAGCAGGTTGCTAGGTCCTTGGCTCTTTCTTCTATGGCGCTAACACTTTTTTCTTGAATCCGTTGTCTTTCCCCATTCATCACAATTTTACTTACTTTACTGTATTCTCTCCCGTTCAGACAATCTCTCCTGTGGAAGCAACATGACCCAGTGAACATTGTACCTCCAAGTCCATCTAGCCCAGGAAAATATACCTTTAAGGAAATAAATTTGATTGAGATATTAGATTTCAAGCCCAAGCAAGATGCAACATCAACATATTTAAATAATGCAATTTTTTTACCACATTTTCTGTTGTTTGATATCTAATTTAGAGTGCTCTTATAACTTCATTCAATTCAAATATAAATTTCTTTAAATTATGCAAATGCAGGGGCCTACTTTGTGAACAATTTTGAAGGCTCTTGCATACAAATCGTGCTTGGTGAGGTTTATAAAGCTTTGAGGAAATTGCACAAAGGCGTACTCATGGCCTCTCTCTTCATCCATAAAGAAGCACAATGAATCCCTGATTGAATTAGGGTCAGTAGCACACATATCACAATCAAGAGTGAGAACAATTGGTCCATTGGTTATCTTCTCAGAAACTCTCAACTGCATGTTTAGAAGGGAATAACACAAATTCAGCTACTCATAAGAAACTAAGTCTAAAATGCTAAGTGAGGCAGTATTTATTTATAGACAGTGTTTCTATAATATAAATTCGAGGAAAGAAAAGTTCTAATAAGTCTACCAAAGCATTTAAAGCCCCGGCTTTAAAATTATGCTGATACTTCGGATGTTTCTCACGGGCCATATAAACAATTGTCGGCATTGCAAATCCAGCAGAATCTCTTGCATTTTCATCTCTTCCATCAATTAGTATCTGCAAAACAGAAGAAAATTGGTTCACTATTTGCAAAATTTCATCATATGAGGTTGTAGAGTAGTATCATGCCTTGATGATGGCTTGGTGATCCTTAGAAGATGTTTTGGAGCTCCACTCAGCAAAACCTTCATGCACAGCCTTAATCTCTTCGGAAATGTCACCAAGTTTCATTGCTGCAGCAATCCGACTCTCCATTTCTTCGTATGTTTTCTTCATCAACAAAAGGATTCAGAGACAAATAAAAAGTGTTTGAAATTCTGAACAAGTAAATTGAGAAAACTTACTTTCATAGCTGCCCATTCCGAGAAACTTTGATCATGTATTTGAACTGATGATTTTGAGAAGAAGAGAGATGGTGACAAGGGCTTCACATCGAACTTCTTACAAAACGGTATCCATAACTTTGCAAAATTTGATGCCTCAAGCAGTGCATAGAATGTAATGATTGAACCACCATCATCAGATAGATAAACACTTAGTTTCTTTGGCGGATAATTATAGGCCAGGACTGATAAAACTGTGTTGATAACTACTATAGGGGGTTCTATGGTGGGGTCAGCAGTGCATATGAAAACATCTATCCTTGGCAGTTTGACTTCAAATCTAACAAAATTTAATTCAAGTTATAGTCAAAATTTAACCAAGAATGTAAAAGAGATGAATTTACCTCCATGCTTAAAACCTTATCTAACAATATTATGTTGTGCAATAATGGTCATAATCATATATTGTTAACAGCTTTTCTTTATTAATCTTCGAACATCAAGAGTTTAAAGTTGGTAAAACACTATATGTCAAAACCTCTAATTGGTGCAATACTTGTGAATGTATGCATCTCGTGAATGAAAGCTTATATAAAATTTGAAGTCCATGTGTAGAAAAATTAATTAAGAGTATTTGGCTCAACATATCCTGAACTTGTCAATTACTCAACTGTTTTCTTCATTCATTCTTGATTCTCAACATTTTTATTTAAGCCAAATTTTTTCATGAACAAAGCGTGGATAAGTAGATTTCTCTTCTAATTTTTGGATTTTCAGAATCAATTTTTAAACAGGAAAATCAACGAGTGTCCAGTTCATCTATTGCAAAATAACATATCTGTTATGGTATGACTCATATATCATATCGGGACAGACGCTGGATCGAAGAGGAGCGGAAGAATCTGTCCAAATTGGGAAGTTACGTGGGTTGGGGTGCGGGGGCAAAGCCCCGCGGTATGGTACAGGGGTAATGTTGTAATTACATATTGTGCCTATGTTTACTCCTGGGGTTATAAATAAGTCTGTTAGTAACCCCAGGAGGTATTCCAGAATTCTGTAAACCCTTTTCTGATTATTGAAAGTAATCGCCGCTCTGCTCCCGAGGACGTAGGCATCTTTGCCAAACCTCGTTAAATCTCTGTGTTCTTCTGGATTTATGTCGATTATTGTTTTTCTTCGCCCTAATTTTCTCAACAAGTGATATCAGAGCCAAGGTTCGAGGGGAAGAAAATTTTCATCGGCCGGCGCAGGGGGTGAGAAGGGAGATGCGTGGAGATTTGCGGGAAGCAGATCACGTGAGGGATCGCGACAGAGGCTGCTGGGGAGTTGTCCGATGCGGGAAGGAGCGAAGGATCGCGGCGTTCTGCGGAAGGAATGAGTTCGCGGACGCAGGAGCACTGTTGCTGTTCGTGGATCGCGGCGCTGACAGGAAGGTTCGCGGCAGAGGGTTCTTCTGCTACGCTTCGAGGGATTGCTGCCAGGTTCGCGAGAAGAAGCTGCGCGATTTCTGCTGGAGACTTGCCAGGAAAGGAATCAGTGCTTAGCTGGTGTTGGAAAGGACATTATTAGCTCCCAAAGGAAAGGAGGCTGCCTTTACTGGATACCGAGAAGAGCAGGAAAAAAGGAAGTGAATTTACTTCCAACAGGAGTCGGCCAGGAAAGTTTAATTAAAGGAAAACTTCTTTTTTTAATTAAATTTATTTAAAGAAAATACTTAATTAATGAAACTTAATTAAAAATTTTCTTTGCTGGATATTTGGAAGGGATATTTTCAAATTTTCTTGGAAGAAGAGAATATTTCAATTTTTTTTTTAAAAAAAATGGTTCTAAAGATTTTTGCAGAGAAATTTTTTGCAAAAAAGTTTCGTTGCAGGTTTAATTTTCAGATGACATTTTCTGGTGCGAAATTCGAGGTGGTGAAGTTCGACGGAACTGGTAACTTCGGATTGTGGCAAACCAGGGTGAAAGATCTGTTGGCGCAACAGGAAATCTTGAAAGCTCTGCGGGCAGCAAAACCATATGCCATGGAGGATGAAAATTGGGAAGAATTGCAACAGCGAGCGGCAGGGACGATAACACTAGTATGTATCATGTTATGAATCTAAAATCTCCAGGAGAGGTATGGAAGAAATTGGAAACTTAGTTTATGTCCAAATCTCTAACAAATAAATTGTATATGAAGTAAAAGTTGTATGGGCTGAAGATGCAGGAAGGTTCTGATCTGGCGCAGTATATTAATAGCTTCAATCAAATAATCACTGATTTATCACGGCTTGACGTGAGTATTGAGGATGAAGATCGAGCGATGATTTTGTTGTGTTCATTGCCCGCTTCCGATGAACACCTGGTGACTACTCTGACATATGGGAAAGAAACTATCAA